GTTGGGCTGGTTCTGTGGTTGTGGTTGGATGTTGTGTTGGTCGTGTTTGTTCCCTAATAAGCACTCCCGACCTAGGATCAGCACACTTTCGTTTTAGTGGCGGTTAGGAGGCTTGAGACTCTTCAAGATCACTTTCAAATGGAATAATGTTTGGAGTATCAACTGCTCGGAGAGGCTTCCTTGCAGTTGAATCCAATTGTGCAATAACCTCTGCCATCTGAGCGGGAATTTGTAATGGAAACTTGAGAATGTTTGAATCTCCCTCAGTCTCTGTTGGAGAAATCACAACATCATCGACTTCATCATTCTTGAAAAACGAACTAAGGTCATCATCACTACGTTCGAAATCAAACACCAAGTCCTCAACATTAAAACCCTCTACATCACCCTCTTCATCATCACCTTCGCTATCATCATCATCATCATCATTGAGAACTGGCACATGCTCCTCTGCCACAATTGCCACAGGAGGGGTGACAGCAGAAATAACCTCAGGTTCAGAAACAGGAATACTTTCAGCTTTGGCAACTGGAACATTTGTTGGTTCAGCAGCTGGAATATTTTGAAAGGCTGGAGCTTCCTCAATCTCAGCAAATTTTCCGAATTTCACTAATGGGCTTGTGCCCCTGAATACAATCTTTGAACCCTTGCGATTTTGTTTCATTAAACCAAAAGAGTTTGGACCCAAAGACTTCATATCTAAGGTTTCACCCGTCCTTTCCAAATCAGGATGTTGATCATCGAAGATCATCTGTAGAAATCTTGGGTACATCAGGAACACATCCTTCCATAATAAGAGCAATAATGACACCAGTAGATGACTGGGAGATCGCATCAGCTCCCCCTTCCTGCCTGAAATGCAGATCACAAAAGTGTGAGCTAGGAAGCGCCAGTAGGGAGGGAGCAACTTCTTCAAAGTTGGAGGAAAGGTTCCTTCATAGCACATTCGTGCGAGAACCTCCCTAATCTGAGCAGCAGATATCTCAGTTGGGAATCATGGCTGATCTCCAAATCTAAGAACTTCACGAATGGTTTGCTCTGACACTATAATCTTCTTCTCCTTGACTTTTGACTCTACAGTGCCTGTGAGCAGCTAGGGTTTCCTCCAAAACCCTAATGGACAGCTTAGACATTAAGCAGCCCATGGAACCTTCTGGAATAAGGCCATGGACGAAAATATGATGGGCTCCCATCATAATTTCGTTCATCCCTTTGTCCCATTGGGTTTCCCAGCCCAAAATCCAACTATCACACATTTGACAGTTTAAGTCCCTTTATTCAATTAATCTCTTTTAGTCACCAAATTAATTCTTAATTAATTTATGACTAATATTAATTAAATAATATGATTTCTCTTTTAATATATTATTCTTATAATATATTAATAAACCATAATAACCTCTTTCTCTATTATTTCTCCAGTCAAGTTGCTTTGGTGAAGGCAACCCAAAAGGATCATGCACAATCGGGTCAAGTACTTACCAAATATGGTTACGGGCTTAGACACTAATCCAACAGCCTTATCCCAGAACTCCCTCACTAGGTCTTTATAAATGACAGGATTTACTCGAAGAGCATGAGTGATCCTACAGTTGTTTAGACCATGAACCATGGACTTAAACTCCTGATGGTTCTGTGGAGGATCAAAAAGACATCCAGTAATGTTGTGAGAGTCAGAAAATTTCTATTCAGCCATTTATCTGCACCAAACGAGCCAAGTGAGAAAAACAAAATTAAATAAACAATATTAATTTTCTCAAAACATTGATTTCGGTCAACCAAAGTCAAACAAGCTTGAATTTGGTCAAAAATAAATCGATTGCGGTCAAGGGTTAATGATTGCGGTCAAGATGGTCAAGGTTCATCGTTTTCGGTCAAAGTGAGGGTCAACGGACACGATTGTGGTCAAAGTCCTTTGACTCTGTTGGACTAGGTCCGTTTGCGGTCAGATCCGGGTTGTCGGCTGGATCCGGGTCACCGAAAACCTAAAACCCTAGAACCCTAAATCAACGAAAAACCACCGTCAAAACGCCGATTAGCCCCTAAAACATGCAAAAATCTCAATCAAATCGTGTTATAACTGATGTATAGCCATCGCAATCCACTTACTTCGATGAATCAGTGAGTAATTTACGATGAAACACAAGAAGAATGATGAATCGATGAGCAGAAAATTCAAGCATCAAACGAGAGTGAGAACGATAGAGAGAATGAGCGAGATTTCGGTGGAGGCGAGGAGAAGAGTGAGTAGGGAGGCCGAAAACCAAACTTTTAAACCCTAATTAGGGTTTTCGGCCCATAAGACAAACTTGGTGGTCCTCACCCAAAACTCAAATCCTCTTTAAAAAATAATTTAATTCCTTTTAAATAATGAGACTTTTGAAGACTTTGAAAAATAAAATAAAATAAAAACTAAAATTTTAAATGCAAACAAAATTTAATTTTTAGAAAAGAAAAAAATAAAATGAAAATTAAAAATAACACTAACCACACTTCAAAATTAAAATTTAAACACATTGGGATCATAAGTTTTGAAACAGCCTTAACTTTGTTTTTCAGCATACACCTGCATGAATAGATCTGGTCAATCACCGGTATTGTGATCCACTTAAACACAAAAGACCTTTTTACCAATTTTGGACAGATTATACATGACGGGACATTTGAGATCAAATTCCTAAATGGACCATTTAGCTGACGACGACCAAGGATATTGTTCTCCACTTAAATTCAGCAGCGAGATCTACAGGCAACCATTTAAATAGTTCAATATTAGGTACACTAGAACGTGTTCCCCACTGTTGTGGTGTTGATTATGATGGCATGTGCGGAATTAGAAAGATCTAGTGAATCATCATGTAAAATCAAGAACACAAGGAGTAAATAAATCTTTTTAAGCTCATATTAGATCTAGAAAGGATATACAAATGGGTTTGTACACAATTTCTCTCTCTAGTCTAACACTCCAAATGGTTCCTTACATAATGGGAGTCACTCACTTCCTATTTATAGGAAAGACTCAACCCATTTACACATACAAGAGGGTAAGCCTAAAACACTACATCCAAGAGTGACTTTGCACCCTAACATTCTCCCCCTCAAAGTTAGGATTGGATGTCTAGGCTTCATTCTCCAACGAGCTAGCGCGATCAAGACCAAACTCCCCCTCGAAGTAACACCGGTCTTCAAATCCGCAAATGAATATTCGACAATCCCGCTTCGAATACCCATCATTCTCCCCTTTTTTATAATCAAAAAATGATTATAAAACCCATTAAGGGTGAGAAGCGCCCGAGAAATAAACTTCACAATACTCCCCCTTGATGTGTACCAAAAATGAATCACCAAAAATCTTGCACGGAAAAACAATCATGAAAAAGCTTCTAACAAATGAAATACATGTAATTAAATCAGTTCAATCAAATAAAATTAAATATAATACATTTATACTATTATTTTACACAAAGTGAGAATGCATAACTAAAGCAATCACCTCTTAGAAGCGTATGAGATTCAACATGAAGTTGGTTAAATTGAGCTCTTCTTTCATGTAAATCCAAGAATAAACAATTTATCAACAAACCTAATTAGAAACAACTCAAGGACAATTAAGTAATTATGTTTTTAAATTATTTTATTCTTTTAAAATTAAAAGTCATAACAACTCATAACTAACATGAAAATTAACCAAAATGTATCCAAAAATGGAATCACGTAGGAGAGATATATCTTTGCTTCCCTTCTTTTGCTATAGGTTTAGACTTTTGGATCCTCATTGGAACTCTTGAGTCTTTTTTTCATGTTTTTCTTCTCACTCAACACATCTACATTTACTTCCTCCTTCCTGTCTTCCCTGATTTTCATATTTCTAGTCTCTAATTCCTTTCCCACTGTTGGAGCAGTGCCTCTGAAAACCTCTTGAATAAGTGGTTCAGTCATTTATATGTGAATGTTACCAACATACCTGCATTTGAAATATAATTTTAGATAAAGATTCTTCTAGTTATGAATAAGGCAATAAAAATACAAGCATCTTCTGCTTCAGGTGTATACTGGTTATAAACTTTAGGATTCATGACACAAAAGCAAATATCATGGGAATACATGTGTTGTGAATGAGTAAAACATTATATAATCGCAAAAAAATTAAACTCATAGTGGTATTTGTTTCAGGCATTTCCTCGAGCACTTGATGTGCATCTCTAAACATGAAGGATATTCGATTAATAATGAAATAGAAATGCCAAAAACATCCAAACGACAACAAATTACAACAATGTGGGTTAAAAAATAAAGTCAAAATAAGTTCTGACCAACAACAATTTAAATTGAAAATCTGAAAATTTGAGAATAGAGTAGAGACAGACCTTAGGCTGTGTTAATGGAGAGCTTTCGAGGAGATAGAGAAGGCCAAGGGAGAGATCGCAAGGTAGATTTGTAATGCACAGTGGAGCAAGGAGCAGATTGGGATTTTTTATTAGATTTCAGAAGATACATCACAATAGGGTTGGAAATTTTAGTAGATAAAAAAGTTTTTAAGTATACGGGGTGAATGTAAACCGAGCAAAGCGGGAATGAAAAATTGAGATAAGCGGGAATCCAAATTCTGAAGTTTGAAGTGGGAATGAAAAGTTGTAGTAGCACAACAAAAATATGCCACAAAAAAATATAATTTAGTGGCACAAAAATAATATGCCACTAAATGTAATTTTGTTTGTAGTGTATCACTTATACTTAATATCACTTCCCAGATGACACCAACAAACGAAAAACCATTTTTCGATAATTTTTTGAATTTATTAAATAAAAATACAAAAAGAACATAAAGACATATTTTTGGATTTTTTGTTTTTTTAAGAAAATAACACTTAAATGTTTTATATAAATTTTCAACATTCAACATGTACCATGCATAAATAGGTGAGAAGCAACAACCTTGGTACATGTATAAAGTGGTAAACATCATAAAGTATCTCTATCTCACTTACACACATAAATAGCTAAAGATTATTATTATTATTATTATTATTATTATTATTATTATCACCTTTCGGTAATTGCGGGTCCATAGATCGTGGTATATGACGAATTTTATGTCTAATAATCCTCAAAGTGGCAGACACCTTTAAGGTGATATTTTGTTGAGAAACATTCAACCATGGAGAAAGCCCACGTAAAATATCAGCATGCAAGTCTAACAATTTTTTCACTGGAAGATTGACAACTATGTTCTCTATGAACCATAAAACCTTTTTTACAACTTGTATGTCGTCTTCCTTATCCAGCAATTCAAGGATTGATGGCACAACATCTGGTATCAGAAGGCAGATTTCTGGGTCATCAGATACAAGTAAAGATAACGCAGAGACTGCATCAGCTTTTACGTGAGAAGGAGCTTTTACGTGATAAGGACTCCAAAAGAGGAACAACGTTATCATGCTGACGAATCCTTGATGATTTCCTGGTTTTGATGGAGATGATTCTTTTTTTAAAATGGTACTTGTCTCTAAAAAGATCTCATCTGCCACCTTTTTACTTTTTTCATCTTGTGGCGTCACTATGATTTCATACAACATACGAATACCATAAATGTTCTTTCCATCATGAAATATCTCCATTGAGTGAACTACCAACATCTTGAAGCACAAAAACCGCCATCTAAGTGAAGTTATATCCTTAGGGGATTTCAAACCAATTAATAAATCCACAACTTGCTTAAACTTTGAGGATCTGAAGTCGGAAGATTCCACCAAGATTTTGTAAAGCACGTCATATGCATCCCCTTCCTTCAAACACTCTTCGATGGAATTGTATATAAAATCATCGGAATCATCTCCAGTTGCCCCAACAAACAACGATGCAAGTTCCAGTATCAAATTTGAAGGTCTACCTTCATCTACATAAACATTCTTAAGTGACGAAAGGAAAATCACTTTTACTTTTGAAGATTCAATAGCAAGTGTCAAGCATCTAATCGTGTCCTTTACAAAAGCAAGAGGTTTCTCAGGGGACGATTGAAAGAAAACTTGGATAAAAGCTTTCAAAAACTCCTCTAACCATGGTGACATGGCCTTCATGTTTCCCGTTGCAACTTCTTCACTATCTTCAATCTCCCAAAGTTTGGAAAGTTCCTCATCAGAGAGAAAACAAATGCCTTTGTTTCCCTTGACAAGATACTGCAAAGCAACACCAATAGACTCGATCATAAACACATCCTTTTTTAGCCATTTAATCATGTGATCTGCTAAGGATCCAAAACTTTCACGTATGTCAGTTGGAAAGCGACAAAATGCCGGCAATTATCCCAAACAACCACGTGCATGAGACTTAAACTGTTTTCTGATTTCCGAGTTTTCTTCAACTTTTCCGCATGCTTCCATGAAAGATTCGGAGAGAGGGACTATTGTTCTAATAAAGAACCCTAAGGATGACTGAACAACATGATCCCTATAAATAGGTATCAACCACGTATTTGAGCAAGTAAGTTCATCGGGATCAACAGAAATAGGTATGAATTCATGTACTTTTTCAGCCGTCATAACAAGTATCGCACACCCGATACAGTCTTCAACATGCTTTTTTACATCACCAGATGCTTTTGTCATGAATTCAGCAACCTTTACAAGTATCTTGTGCATGTAGACAATGGACTTGTTCCCAATATTTTGAAATAAACCAGCGATGACAGGTAAAGAATGCTCGTTTGTATGGGTACTGAGAATTTCTAAAAGTGCATCGCATAAGTTTTCCACCATTTTTGTTTCCTCAGGTGCAACAATGCTTTCATCTTCATGAAAACGTACATCATCAAAGATATCTACACGTCTCAACTTTTCTTTTAGAATACTTGAAGCCCTTGTAGCAGTAGCATGATCAGATGTCAAAAGACCTAAAAACACATGCAAAATAATATATAGTCATATAACTAATCATATCAAAAAAATATATTATATCATATATGTCTACCTGCTATACGACAAATGAGAAAGTAATAATCGCTAATCCACTTTTTTGTTATTATTACAGTATCCATTGGTGTAACCTCGGATTCATATTCAAAGTATTCAAGTAGAGTCTCGGTGAAATCTAAAGTACGCCTCATCACCATTGAGGACTTGGACTTGGCTCCTATAGGTAATGATTGAATCCCTTTTTATACAAAAGTTGGTGGTAAATAAGGTATTAGGAATCTCATCACCTCCATCGTGGGAATAATGAATGGATCTATTGTATCCACTGAACTTGAACTTGATTTGTCTATGGGTAAAGACACATGGGAAGTGAACATTTGTAGTACCAATTCACTTGCACATTCTTTGACCTTTTCGGATTCAAAACAACGGACGACCTTCATAGCACAAATCTGAGCAGAATTTCTAACCTCCAGCCGTGTATGTCTTGAATAGTAGATAAGCGCCCCGACGCCTAATTTTATAGATTCCCGATTGTCCAAGTCACACAACTCCAGAAAACAAGCCAAACACTCGACCAAAGCGCTAGCCCTCGTAGCCTGCAAAGCCTTAACAACAATCTCCATGGCCTTAGCCGCCTCGGACTTGGTTATAAACTCCTTAGGAACCAGAGGTAACACAAACTCCAAAAACAAACCCATCGTAGACACTGAATATGCATCGGCGTCATGGTTTCTAGATAGGTCGTGAATGATAGTTTCGAAGTAAGAGTGGGGAGTCAGGGGCCGATATTTAGATCTTAGGGAATTGCGGGTACGCCTAACGATTCTGCAGAGTTCGACGTGTTGAGGTGCGATGGATTTGCCGTAACGGCCTACGACTTGGTCGCATATATCATCAGATGGTGGTCGTCGTTTTGCCTTACTCATACTGCGCGTTTCAATTTCCATCAAAAAAACGATTTGGGAAAAAGATACGAAATCGAGAAAGAGGGACGAAACCCTAATTGCAGGTTTGAGAGAGACGAGAGAACAAATATTACGAGGGTGGTTGGGTTGCTTTTAAAATAGCATTAGTTAAAATATTTTAAAATAACTTTTGACTTTTAATTTTTTCAAAAAATTAAAAAAAAGTCAAAAGTGTTTGAATAATTTAAAAGATCTTTTGAAAATGGGTGTTGTTGTGGACACTCCATCCTACTCACTCCACCCTACTCTAATATATTTTAGGTTAGACATCATTACTCTTAACTAATCATTTTTATTAATTAAAGATTTTATTACATTGTTTTCCGAAAGAAATATATTTTTTATTTTTATTTTCTCTAATTCTCTCTCTTTTATTTTATATATATATATATATATATATATATATATATATATATATATATATATATATATATATGGAAGGGTTATATGGAGAATTAATGATTAGGGCAACACATATTTGAACTAATGAAAACATGACAACACATCACTTTAGAGTAAGGTCCCGTTTGACAGTTGCTGACTGAAAAAGTGCTTACTTGAAAAGATCTGTCCGAGTAAGAAATCCTGGCTGAGTAAGAAACAATGTTGTTTGATTGTAAATCTGACTGAATGTGCTGACTAGATGTAAAATGACCATTTTACCCTGCTGCTTGATCGTACATCTGACACTTGATTTCAAACCGAACACATACGAAAAAAATGCAATAGCAGCAACAAAGGTCCAACATACATAATAGATACTTATCTATAATATATAGTAACAATATTGTTCTTCTTATTCACAAGATAAACAGGGCATCTCATTATATAACAGTATCTTGTACACATATTAATAAACTCTAAATATTGGTTCATGCATTTTATCAAACATATAACATGCATCAGGAGCTCCAAAAGCTTAAAAGTTTTGTGACTTTAAGAATTTTCTAATTCCACATCAGTCATCTGTTATAGCACTACCAACAAACTTTTTTTATGATTATAAACATGGATTTATAAAACAGAATATGAAATTGGACTTACCAGTAGGTTGCAATCGATCATCCCTTACCAGCAGGTTGAAATTGGACCTATCCTTTCTAACCTCCTTGAAATTGACCACAAGTCTTAAAAAAAAGAAATATGATGAAATTGAGTACATGGCTTAACTTTATTGAGAAATTTTCAAAATTTAACGAAGAACAAGGTACCTAATGAGTGATGAGAAGAAGAATAGAGCAGAAAAAATTGGAAAAAAAAAAGAAAGAAACGTAAGTGAAAGAGGAGAAGATCAACATACCTGATGAGTGATGAGAAGAGGGGTGTCGATTGGTGGGGGGCAGGCTCAAATCGTCAGTTTCAAAGGATCTTGGTTGTGGCTGAAAGAGGAGGAGATGGTATCTTTACGGAGGCGCTGGAAAGGAATTGTAGGGCAAGGGTAGATTAGGAAAAATTCTCAGTCAGCTATTCTTCTCAAGCTTTCTCGCTCAGATTTCTCTTATCCAGTCAACCATCCAAAATCGGTTTAACAAACAATCTCAGTTGACCGAGTCAGCCAAATACGTCGGACCCGACTCGGTCAGACGTATATCAAACAGCCCCTAACTAAATAAATAACTTCCCCAATACATTACTTGTGAATAAAGAAATGGACACGTGTCATTTAATTATTGGTTCCAGCATATGTTGCCCTAGTTATTCGTTTTCCAAATAACTCATTTCTCTCTCTCTCTCTCTCTCTCTCTCTCTCTATATATATATATATATATATATATATAAAAGATTCATTAACTATTAAGTTGAAAGAATAGAAAATGTAACATTTTTTTATTCTATAATATTATTATAAAAATCCTTCACTTAACTTAATTAACTTAAGAGATAAATTTTTAAAGACTAAATATAATTGTATGAAAAAAATAAACGTATTAAAATGTTTTTTCTTTCAAATTGATAAACTTGTCTAAACCTTAAAATATGTAATTATTATATATATATTAAAATTATGAAGAAAAAGAATAATAAAGTTCCTAAGGGTTTGGCAAGATTGGTCCCTAAGGTTATGTATGTTTGCTAAATGTCGTGTATTTATTTCCTTCTTTTTCAGGGGTCCTCTAAGGCAATTTTTAAAACTGGATTCTTCGATATTTTGATTTATTTAAGGGTTTCCGCTCCACCGCTTTCACCAGATTCTCAATTGTTCTTCACCCTCTCATATTCTCTTCATTCTTCCTTTTGGGATAGTCACGTTTAGTCCACCGCCTTACTATCCAAGCAGTCGATCTGCTTCTTCTTGATCCTTCAGCACCGCCTTCGCATCAACTTATTTTAACTCTGCGATGGTTATGGATCGCTTCCATCTCTCATACGTCGTCTCTGCTTCCCTGTTTCCTCATACGTCTGCGATTTACGACTTCCTTCTCTGTAATAGATCTTCCCTCAAAGAAAAAACCTAAGGTACCATGTCATCTCTGAATTCACGTTTCCACTGAAAATAGAGAGATCGATAGGGAGAGTAAAGAAACAAAGGTTACAAATCGATTCTTTGTCCTTGTGTGTTCCATTGTTGGTAACGAAAAAGGTAGATGAAGATTCTTCCGTTTCTACACTTGCTTCGGAACTGTGAGACACACGTTTCTGTGGTTTCTAATTGTTTTTCAACTTTTCTATCGATCGGTTGTATCCAACACAACCGAAGGCTGTAAGGTTTCATGCTAATTTGGTTTCACTGTATGCACCTTCTCCCTCTATGCGACAAGAAACCCATCATAGTAAACTAGGGTTTCTGTTATCAAAATCAAGGGTGGGTAAGAGGGGATACTTCTATCCCTTCATGTAAACCATCGTAATTGAATCAGGAGTTTCAATTACCTCAGTCAGGAGTTAAAGAGTGGTTTACATGAGGGGATACTTCTATCCTTTAACCATCTTCCAAATTGGGTATGAACTTTTCCTTTACCGTATCAAATGCACACTAATTAACTCTTTGTATTGAGCCACTCATTTTCTGATGAACTTCTTGAGCCGGATAGATCGGTATGGATGATCACAGGTAAGTTATATACTTATATTTTTATAGCTTTTGGGTTTGTTAAGGATTTGTTTTATTTTCTTACTGTATTTTGCTTTTCATGTTATATAATTATGAGGTAATGGAATTTTATCTAAGGGAAAGTAGTTTTTCCATTTTGATTTTGCACCTTATCCGTTGTTTTTGAAAAAAAAACATATAAGATTGTTGTTTATAATGTTTATTACGATTTTCAGGAACCAGTGTAAAGATAGCTTCAGTTCCCTCAACTGTGGTAGTGCTAAACTCTAATAACTTTGAGGAGATTGTATTGAATTCCAAAAAGGATGTGTTGGTTGAATTCTATGCACCCTGGTCAGCCATTTTTTTAGTTTTGTTACATGTTTCATGTTCTCCACCATCCTTACAAAAATGCTTATTTTTTTTATTCCATCTTAACATCGTAATCAAAAAGATTTCAGAGTACAAAGCTATGACACTAATTTGTTGATTATAGTTGATTTGCATCTTACAATCTTCACTCTTGTAACAGGTGTGGGCATTGCAAGAGACTTTCTCCTATATGTATCTCAACTCTTTACATTTAAAGTATGCATTTGTTACACAAGACAAGAGTTGAGAAGCTCTGTAGAGCTATTTTCAATGATGATTATGAGAAGGGCGTTTGCGTCTTTTCAAAAAAAAACATACATTTTTCCCCATACACAGTACAAATACAACAGTAATTATCTGTTTTTTTTAATCAGGTTTATGAAAGTCTAGCAGCTGCTTATAAAAATAAGAAAGATGTAGTTATTGTCAATCTTGATGCCGACAATTATAAGGATCTTGGTGAAAAGTAAGTAACAGTTATAAAATTGGGTCTTTTTTGAAATCATGAAAGATTGGGTGAAATATGGTGAAGACTATGAAGATGGACGCAATATAGATAGGTTTGTGACCTTCATCAATGAGAAATGCGGCACTAGCCGTTATGCCAAGGGTCAACTTACTTCCACCGTTAGTGTTTGACTTCAAATTTGATCTTAAAAAAGAACATTTACTATTTTATTATTTTATTATCCGTTACACATGTGACATTTTGTTTTTGTGGTGAATGTAGGATGGTTTAATTGCCGAATTGGATAGCTTAGTGAAGGAGTTTGTGACTGCTGGTAGTGATGAAAAGAAAGCATTATATGCTAAGATTGAGGAGGAAGTTGGAAAAGTCACCAGTTCTACTTCAAGGTTATCTTTTTATTCATTTTGTTTTGATTAACATTTAACATGTTTGTTGAATATATATATATATATATATATATATAATACATTTTTATACATGTGTTTTTTTATCAGATATGGAAAGATATACGTGAAAGATGCCAAAAGTAGTCTGACCAAAGGTTGTGATTATGCTAAGAATGAGATCCAACGTCTAGAACGTATTCTTTCTAAGGTAAAATTCAATTCAATCAAATATTTTTTTTTGGCTTAACCCATTAACTCATGTCTCTGTTGTCTGATTGTATTTAAATTGTGTTATTGTTGCAGTCGATTAGCCCTACAAAGGCGGATGAATTTACCCTCAAGAAAAACATTTTATCTGCTTTTGCATGATAAATGACTGGAATCAGTCGTTACTACGAGTTCAAAGAGATGTTTGATCTCTCCTTTTATTACTGGTAGTCTCCAGAGTTTACTTTGTTTTTTATTTTTGGATTTGGTTGGGGCACATACAATTATACTAACAATAGGGGAGAAAATGGCCATTATGTAGTACCACCACCAGCAACATTAGAAGTGAAACATGCAGAAACATTCTCAGATACAATATTAAACACATGATAACGAAATTGTAGAAACGACTTAATAATAAATATTAATTTTATTTCTTTTATAAATAATTATTCACTAATACTAGATATTACATAATTATAATGATTTAACAAAAAAACATAAAAAAATTTATAATACCACCTGACTCACAAACAACGATCATAAATATGATAACATAAAATAAAACATAATACAAATGATTATAGTGATTTAACAAAAAAACAAAAAAAAATCGATTATAGTGATTTAACAAAAACACAAAAAAAAAAAAAATTTCTTTGGTTACTGATATGTTTCTGCTTTTGGTAGCTTAAGTTTAGGGCTTTTAAACCTCTTCATTGATTGCTTTTCATTGATTTTTTCTAACACACTTCATGATTTTCTTGAATAATGAATGAAGATCAATGTAATGGCTACTGGATGATTCAATTGACAAAGGGCACAGGTAAGAGATCCAATGACAAACATACTTATTTTTCATAATTTTCAAATATCAAAGAAACTCACATGGAATAGAAAATATAGTTTGGAATGGGATGGTGAGTTTCTTAAATGTTGAAATCCTTGCCTTTAAAAATCCTTATTGAACTTTTAAAATCTTATATGTTTTATGATCTATTGGATTGTTACTGAATGTGTAAGTCGGACTTGGGACTCGAGTTTTCTTCTTGATGATGGCAGATAGAAAGATGAAAGCTTCCAAGAATGCATTTGATGCAATTATTGATACTGATATAACTTCCTTTCATAGAGTTGGCATTTATAAATTAAAGGTGAGTAGCAATTCCATATTATGATTGTAGTTATCTTCATTGGCTTTTTGAAATGATCTATCCAATTGGAGGCTCAGTTTTATCATTTTTCAGCTCTCATTTGGCGCCATAAATTCTATAAACACTACTACGAATGTAATTTATAGGGTTTAAATTTTTTTACAAATGGATTTATTGTTTGTTTGATTATGTTTTTCAGGTTTTATACTATTCCGTTAAGTTTTTGTTTGTAATTATAACTATTTTGTTTTAAAGAAGAAGGCAAGGCACCCTATGTGTTCGATGGAATGCCCCAAATAAGATGCACATCGTTAATTTCCATGATTTTTTCTAACCCTAAGAGGTATTTTGTTTTTTCTGTAATGAAACCTATTCGATTTGCAGGTAAAATTGACTTCTCACATCATGTTTCTACGGATTCTGAACCATCGATTGGTTTGTCGGGTATAATTTTCTTTTCTGAAGCATTTGTTTAATATTTCACTGTAAAATGCGTTGTTTTGTGATAAAATACATACGTATTACTTCTTTTTTGTACGTTTGTTTAGTATAATAGAGTCGAATCAGATTTGTCTACACATGATGTTCTTTGACCATTTTTTACATTCTCTGTTGGTTGACCATTTGTTTATTATAAAGGATGTTTCAATTTTCAGGCATTCCAACAAAAGGGTATAATTGTCAAATAGCAAAAGTAAGAAAGTGTTTATGTAACAATGAAAGATAAAACTTACAGATTTCAGATCGAGGAGGTGCACGAGCCACAGGTATGTTATTGTTGTAAGCGGTTTGGCTTTGAATTTTACTGAGACTTTCACTTCGACCATGGTTAGCCATCTGTTGACCGGTCAAAATGGGTCTTGGGTTAATCGGAAGAGTGTGAATTGATTGGTCAACGGTTTGACCATGGGTATGCATTTTGCAAAAAAAAACTTTGACCAGGTTTTCCTTAGTTTTTTTTATAAAATATATTACAAAAATAATGATATTGCAGTAATAATACTAATTATTTTTACTTGGGGTTGTGTAAAAGAACTAAAACTGAATAAAAAACAGTAACTAAAAAAACAATTGTTTTTTTTTTAATAAAAATCAAATTTTGGGCTTCCAATAGAGAAACTAAGTAATAAAATTGTTTCATGCTAATTGTTATATCCATTACAAGCATGAGTTTTGACTGATTACTGTAGATTTGCAATACATGACAAACATAACCAAAAAAATTTGGGGATTGTAAGCATGACATTTTGTATAGCCGATAAGCTCTAACCGTTGAACTGTTTAGCAACTTCGTATGAGTTCAATTGGTAGTCCATCTAAACAAGTTCATTAAAAACAATAGTTTTTTTAGAATTTAGAATAGATAACTATTTTTGATGATAAACAGATGTTGTTGAATCATGATTCTGATATCTACGTATACAACTACTTTCTACTTGCTTCAACTTGTGTAGTTGTGTTTATTATTACTCCTTACACATTTCCAAGTACTCTATTTTGGTAGTGTAAGAATTTTCCACTATTTTAGTATCTATATCCAACAATTCAATCACTTCACGTCCACTATTTCGCTTCTGAAAGATGAAAATGATGGTTTGCTGTATGGTTAGATTACATTCTTTTTTTTTATTTTTTTTATTAATCGATGATGTAATAATTTCATTTAAATAAATAATTTTTTTAATAAACGATATTTCAGCAACAACATTGGACTTCTCCTGCAATGGAATCAACATTACATGCAGCAAATAAAACAAGCATTAAAAATGGCACCTCAGGTTGCTGATGTGTATTTTTCAAAAGCATTGCATGATGTCAATATACATGTGAAAACTTTCTTTTTAATTTTATATTTTGTTTCTATTAAGGTTTTGACTTATTTTTTTTCCGCTCATATTGTGGTTTGCTTTCATTCTTTTGTACCCTCATGTTAATACCGAGGGCCATATTGTTTAAATGAGTGTCCATAATAGATTTTCTCTTGAATTCTTAAACTACCCATTGGAATTTGGCGACCTTATAGTGTTGTTATTGAAACATATAACATTTTACTTTAATTCTAATGTTAGGTGCATGATTTGATCATTCAAGGAAATTAAATCGAAGAAGACTGGTGAGGGATGCGGTAAGTATGAAGATGTTCTTTCTGTATTTATTGTAGATTGCATTGTACTTTCATTTAAAACTACCTGGATATAAAATTGTATTTTCATTGTTTTCGAAAATCTATTCAAATATAGCATTGTACTTCTTTTGGTAGCATGATGTATCATTACATTTCCATTCATCCGATTGATGGAAAATTACACAGAATAGCAACATACTTTAATTTGGATACCAATTTATGCAATGTACGTCACTATTTGTCTCACAAAACGAACACATTCCGCCCCGTGCAACGCGTGGGTAACCCCTCTAGTTAATATCAAAACAATGAAGCTACTAAACTCCGACCTCAAACTATAATAAATTTTATAATAATCAAAGTTTTATATGAAAATAAACGGTGGCTAAGCTAAAAGGAAAACCAAAAAGAAAAAAGAAAAGCAAAATTATTTATGAAATTTATCTTATACTATTATTTCAAACAAAAACAAATACGATATATTTTTATATAAATTAGCAAAACTAGTCAAATCACATTTATAAAAAATATATATTACACTTTATTAAAATAAATAAATAGTTTCGTTATTCCAATTAAAAAAAATCAACTTGCATAAAATCAAAAAAAAATGAATAACTTTAATAAAATGAAAAAGGCCCCGCATGGAAATTGTGAAAAGTGGAGGCGTGAGGAGAAATTTGGCTGACGACACTTTATTGGAGACTAGTTTTATAGTTTTCATAGTCTAAATTTAGACTGGAGTGAGCATTTATTATAAATAGTATGGAGTGTAAAAATAAAAAGCCTAAAATTACTTTTGGTAAAAGAAGAAAAATAATGAGTTTTTAAAAGTCACAAAGAGAATGTTTGGGAACTCTAGAAGTTCTTTTAAAATCACTTTTTGGTAAGAAGAAAATACATCTTTTTTAAAAGTCATAAAATTGTGTCTTTTGATGACTTTTGGGTTTTTAAAAGGTAAAAGCTAAAAAGTATTCCAAACACATTTTAAAACCATCTTTTGCAAAAGCAACAAGTCAATAAGTCCTTTTATGAAAAGGACTTTTGAAGTAAAAAAGTTTAGCCAAACACACCCAAAATCTGATTTTTTGTGACTTTTTGTTGTTTTACCTATAAAAGTTAAACTAAAAGTCATTTTGTCAATCCAAACACTTTTTAAAGACATTCTTTTCCAAAAAGCCATTTTACAAAAAGTCCTTTCACAAAAAGGACTTTTGATGCTCAAAAGTAATCCCAAACACCCTTTATATCGGAAGATACTTTAACCTTTTGTTGACCGATCGATAACTCTAGTGTGCCGCCGAAGACTCTTTTAACCCTAATCGAGAATAAGAGACGTGCACCGAAAATATCCAGTTCTACCGAAAACGACGATTTCAAACAAAATTTCGATTTTGATGCCCCTAAAAAACCGAAGAAGATTGTCTTGAACCTCGATGAACACCAAGAACACAACAACAACAGTGAACGATTTCTAATAACAAACTTAAAACAGTTTTCGATTAAAAGCTTAAAGAATTAAAACAGCCAAATTCGATCTTGATGTTCTTGAACACGGTTAACACTAGATTGGCTCTGATACCAATTGTAAGTCCCAAAAGCATGAACCAACTAGTAATCAATCGAAATCACTAAGAAAGGGCGGAATCAATGCAAAGTAAATCAAGAACAAACGTCAAACGCGTAATCAACCCAATGCACACAATTATATTGATGAAATCGTCTAGTACAATGGAGATCTTCACAATGGTTGGCCTTCACAATGATATGACAGAAAAGCTAAAATAGAACCGGCCATATGAGTCTCCTTATATAGGGAACACAATTATACAAGGAAACCCTAAGCCCAACATGCCTAAGGACCGAAATCAAGACTGATTTCGGTCCAACCCTAACCAAAAACCCATATTAAGACTCAATAAATGAATAACAAAGCCTAACATGAAACAGACTCATCCCCAATCAGGCGATAGCATACAAGTAAACCCTCAACCTGAGCTCCTAACACCTTAGGGCCTAAGCACAAGTATTCCCTAGAGATGTTATCACAACTAAGACAAATACGAATCGAAGGGAAAATCCTGTTGGATTAATGTCTAAGTCCATAACTATAATTGGTAAGACTTGACCCGACCCGGCATGGTCCATTTGGGTTGCATGGCATCATGCATTTGGATAGACTATAATGAGAGAAATAACACTTAAGGTTGGTTAATATATTATAAGTTCTAATATATTAATAAGGTTATTTAATTAGTATTGATCAAGAATTAATTTGGAATTAATTAAGTGATCAAAAGGAGACTAATTAAATATATGGGTTGATTGTGTAAATCATTCATTCTTATATATGTGGGCTTGTGATCCAAGATTTCTTATGTTGGACTAAGTCCATGGGGTGACCCATGGATACTCCATGGAGGTTAAAATCCATGGAGCATAAGGAATGGGTAAAGTTATGAGTTACATGGTGTAACCCTAATAGCCACCATATAAAAGAATCCCATGGCTCAAGAAATCGTGCACTAATGTGTGAATATGAGGGCTAGACGATTTCAAGGAGTGTTCCATTTCTCTCAAGTCATTCCATGTGCATTTGGTGTTGTGTGAACCATTTGAGGTGTCACACTTGGGGCACTAGACACTCAAGCTTCATGGAGACAAGCTACATCAAACAAACGTATGTATTCTATCCATTTGATTACCCAAGTATCAAGTATTGTATGCTAGATAGGGTAATACCTTGGAAAGTTCATAATTGCATGTATAATAGAGAAAACATAGATCCAAGGTATTTAGGGTTGCATGTACACTTAGGAGTGTTAGAATGCGCAAAACCCATCAAATCCAACAACTGACAATGATCCTATCATGAAACCCGAAGATTTAGCAGTTGCGCAGAAGTCTGGAACTCAGAGAATCTGACTAAAAACCGAATCTTGGCACCAAGTCTTCCTACTACGAGGTTCCACTCTCCCCCCCCCCTTGAAATATGCTAGAATCTGAGAACTTCATAGTCCTTCGATACACCGACTAACTCGAACTCTACTACTTGATCTCAACCACTGATATCCACATACATTCCAACTCACATACAATCGAGGCCAAAGATAATTAATCCACACATAACAAGAGATCAACTGAAACAAAGCTAAATAAGATAACTCCATTTATCTGATCATCCAAGATTACAATGGAACTTTGAAACACAAATAGGAATTAAAGATAAATACCAATACTACCACAATTACTAAATAGAAGAATTGCCAACTCAATTCTCGATCCTCGGGACCCTGACGGTCCCCTGACGACCATCGGGAAACTGCCAAGCTAAGGGCGTATGATCCAACACCTTACTGAGAAATTGGCAATGAGCCCTGATGTGGCCTTCCTGACCGCAATGAAAACAAACTCGCACACTCCGCCCGCAGTCTCTTCCAAAATGACCCTCATTGCCACACATGCGACATGCAACAGATCTGCGTCTCCCTCCAACTGATCCCGAACTCTGGTCGGCGGACTTGAACTGCTTTGTTGCACGTTGGGACTGATCCGGAGCATGACACTGATCCCTCACCTGGGTCTCTATCTCAATCTCTCACCTCCTCGCGGCATCTTGAAGCTCAGCGAGAGATCCATATCGCTGGGTGGACACGAACTATCGAATGTCCGTCTTGATCATGCTCAAATACTGAGTCATCTGAGCCTGCTCTGAAGCAACAAACTCAAGACTGAACAAAGTCCTATCAGTGAACATATTGGTGATCTTTGTCACCGACTCGGACGTTTGTCTCAACTCCAGGTACTCCTGGGCCAGTCTCTCCCTCTCTACCAAGGGAACGTACTTTGCACGGAACCTTTCTGAGAACTGTTCCTAAGTCATCGCGGCCCTCTGTTCAGGAGTATAAGAACTAGTCATTAGTCTCCACCAATCCCCCCCCCCCCCCAACCAGGGAAGATTCAGGGTGCACCTGACCTCCTGGTCATCTGGACAAGAACACGTGAAGAAACAGCCCTCTACGTCAAACAACCATCTCATCGCCATGATCAGGTCCGAGACCCCATCAACTGGGGGCTTTTAAAACATCCCAGAAATACAACCCAAAAATTTCGTTTTTAAAACATTATTAAAACCATCATTTCATTACCAAAGTATAAAATCATAAAACTATGTGTTTCAAAATCTCATAATATCTATCACATATCAAATCTCATGTCAAATGTCATATCAAAATATCAGAGTAGAACTCCCAGGCTGAAGACTGTGGTGTGTGTCATGTGATCATCCCGAGCCCTTCCCTTTGCCAGTGGAAGTACCTGAAACCAAAACTAAAAACTATAAGCACGAAGCTTAGTGATCTCCCCCAAACTACCACATACCATATAATAACACATATAACACATACTGGGCCTTGCCCACTGCATCGGGCCCCGCCCGGCATCGGACCGAAGTCCAGCATAAATTGGGCCCCGCCCACTGCATCGGGCCCCGCCCGGCATCAGACTGAAGTCCGGAATAACTTGGTCCCCGCCCACTGCATCGGGCCCCGCCCGGCATCGGGCTTGCCCGGCATCGGATCGAAGTCTGGAACATATACACATAACATAAACATGCATGAATCACGAAGACATCAAGTCCGGAATAAACTGAACATAACATAAACATGAACATATAACATAATCACATATACTGCATCGGGCTTGCCCGGCATCGGATCGAAGTCTGGAACATATACACATAACATAAACATGCATGAATCACGAAGACATCAAGCATACATAACTACTTCTCGGGACCACCCCGGCATCGGACCGAAGTCCGGAACTACTATCATCTAAACGGGTCAGCATTGTGGCCGTACACCCGTTCCTACTGGAAGGAAACTCACCTCGTATGACTGACTGCTGAAAAACTGGGTGAGGGATCCCTATCTGCTGCTCCGGCAACTCTCCGGCTATAAATTCCATGACAACACTTAATCAAAAAAACTGATAATCCTTCTTAGGGTAAAATGACCATTTTACCCCTGGTCAAAGTCAACGTCCTGACCAAAGTCAACCTTCTGAGTTGACTTACTCGCCGAGTTAGCCTATTGACTCGCCGAGTTCTAGAACTCAGAAACCCTAAGATCCGCGACTCGAGTCGCCGAGTCACCCTATGACTCGCCGAGTCTCCATGCTAATC